AGTGTTGGTTATTTCAGTGACAGTTTGATTGACTATGGCTGAATGTGGATCTGGTAACTGGGATTTTATTATTTGAACCTTAGAATGTTTATCGGATATCTCACTTTAATATTGTCGGTCAGTTACTTTTGAAACTGACATTTGATTTCCCACCAACGATGAACGCTCGGTTCCTTAATCGTTATACATATTACCGTAAAGCCGTACAATAGGTGAGCACATCAGGGTTTAACCCCTGGTCACATTCATACACGGCTATACAGTTTTACCCTCTTACAACGCAAACGGGTATAAATGGAGTCCCATTCCTTACTTCGTTACACTGTTTCAAGGCGATATCTGGTGTACCCCGCCGTGATATTGCTGAAATATTGCTAAAAGCGGCATAAACCCACGGTCGCGCTCTCAAATGTGACAAGGTTTATGTGAGGGACCACCTTTTTCGTCACCTCCTTGTATTTGTATTGTTTATGTATATTCAGTGTTTAATTCCATCTGTTTATAAGCAGTATTCATAGATCACTTGGTCATTAAATGTGTATCAAATATCTGTGAAACTAAACGAGTGCTCAAAAGAAAGTATACAGTGTGTTTGACCAAACTTGATAAGGAAACAAAAACATATATAAATGTATAATTTCAATGGAGTATACAATTCTACAGCAAATGTATGCGACTTCATTTCATGCAAAGTCGAAAGTACCGTTTGACTGACACTGAAAGGCACGTGGTATCATAGTCCGAACTTTAACACAAACTAACAAGAAGCGTTTTTTTCTGCAAAATGTGAAATGATGAATCAATACTGTGACCACCATTGGCTTCAATATAAGCCAAAACACGCCGACGCATTGATGACGTAAGACGACGAATGACGTTAGGCGTGATCCGTTGCCATTCCTGTTGGAGATATTGTTCTAGTTGTTGAGCTATGACAGGTGGTACTAGTAGTCTTCTGATTTGTCGATCCAGGTATTCCCATAAGTGTTCTATCGGATTTGTGTCTGGAGAACATGCTGGCCACTGCAAAACAACGATGTTAGCCTTATGCAGAAAGCAGAAAGTCCTTTGTCGTTTGACTTGTTGTATGAGGCCTTGCGTTATCGTGTATGTAGACAACGCCACGTGATTGTTGTTGGATAAATGACAACAAAACTTGGTCGCAAAATGTCATCCCTGTTCTACATTCCGGTTGCCATAATCACAAGTGTCGTTTCGAGATCACCTCAGAAAACGTCCGACCCACCCTCTCACACACACACGCGCACACGAACACACACACACAAACGCAGGCACACACGCACGCACACACACACACACACACACCATCCTGGCCCTTGTCAATCGACGAAGTCGGCTTTGAAGAGTCATATCCGAGGTAGGGTCGACGTCCTCGAACATCATGTTCTCTTAGTCGTCTGTACACGGTATGTTGTGTGCGTCTTGTGTCAATGTTAATAGAAAAACGCCCCGAAAAAAAGAAAAGAATGAAAATTGGTGCATACATCAATATTTCCCAATTTTCTACAATTTTCTGCAAACTTGCTGATGCAACATAAAGCATACAAGCACTCACTAACTGATTACCTTATTGTTTCCAGGAATGGATTTTGATGAGGAACTTAAGGTGTTGGATACAAAAGAAGGCAAATAAACAATATGCAGTGAAATTAGCCAAGCTAAATGTTTCTTACTTAGAAATCATACTAAATCTTTGAGGCCTGAAAAACTAGCATGTGTAAGAGAATCGGGACGAGGTTAATATGATAAACAAAGATTGAATTCGATACCATGATAATAACTCAACAAAATTTGAAATAACGGGGTATATGCAGCCTGGCCTGTAGTCGTCATACAATGAACACACATTTGAAGACCCGCATGCCACAGACGGGCACCGTACACCAGAAAGACAATCAGGTTATGTCATCTCCGCAACACATTTGTGACTGTAACCTCGATGAGCTGACAGTTGTTAAGGGTTAGAGTATCAGCACAAACCACCAAAATCGACTGTGAGCTAGACGACCACACGCAGGACCTATCCTGACGTAATTACATCGTGCTCAACGTTTACGATGGGCTGCAGACATGCCAGGGCGGGTGTCATGGTTCCATGGTTCATGCATTATTTGTCAAATGATATGCTGCTGTTATCCACATTTTATCATTATTGTTTCCAGGTTGATAGTAATGTTGTAACTGGCGACTGGACGTGAGTACACCCTACACCACTTACCTAATAATTAAGGCCGTTCCACATGGTCAGGGGAGATGGTAGCTCTGGCGCTCCACTCGCATGGTCCGTCGGATGCTAAGTCAAGAAGTGAAGGGTCGGGCGACCAGGGTTCCTAACTAACTGCATCACATTCTTATATTACCTTCATGTAAAATACTTTAATTACATTGGTCAATGAAGCTTTAAGAAGTTTCCGTGTCAACCCTCCTAGGAGGGTAACAATTGGAAAAAATATTACCCGCTGCCAAGGTAACTGCCAAACTCTCCGCCGAGAAGCTGTATTGCTCATACACTCATATGACGTCATAATATGACACATGCAGTGCCCGGAGTTCGAAAACCGTTCGATTAGCTGTTTTTGAGTTCACTATATGCAGACATTTATTTAACCGACTTTCACTGCTTTATTTAAACTATTTTATACAATGAATCGTTTGCACACGCAACTTAAACATAATTAAATTTTTTTATAGCTTGTGAGAAAATGTTTCACTGATTTTTAACATCCAGTCGAGAAGGAGACGCCATTTTGTTTACATGTCATACAGTCGGTGGCGATCTTCCAAATATAATGAAATAATATTTTGTACATTTAACATGGCGGTAAAATACATGCGTATGCTTCTCCCTCGGGTAATACGGTCTGGTGTACGCTCTTTTGTAGCAGTGTTACCCCTCGCCTACCTGCTGGGGTGACACTGCTACAAAGAGGCGTACATCAGACCGTATTAACCACGAGAGAAGCATACAACTTATAATATACTGGCACACATGCATCCAATGATAAACGCAACACCACGTTTCATACTCACATAGGTTTACTTCTTCTCAGTCCATCTCTCTAGCTACAACTTCAACACCAGACAGGGTAGGCTCGTATCACACGGGTCAGCTGTCGAGCGTGCACCCTCCGAACTGAACTCCTAGCGCCATTGTCATTGTCATTGTCATTGTATATGGTTCGAACTTGACCTGATCTCAATGATATGTTTCGACTCATCGTTTTGAATCGTTAATCATGTCCCCGACCTAGCACTCATGTATGGCGTGATGGGCAAAATATGGGTTAGTACCGTTCGGTCATTTATCCCTTTCGTTGATTTGTTAAAACTTTGTTTTCTAGACTTTTTGTCACTCATGACGAATGCGTTCGGTCGCTAAATCCCATAGCCTACGGCTAAACATTAATCTCTCGAGACTTTTTGTCTCCATACCGCGCCTAACCGTCATGACTCGTGACCCGAACTGCAACTCTAAATACGGAATCTTATGTGATTCTTTAATGGTTTAGGGATGTATTTATAGGGCTCCTTGCCTCTAGGCAGGAGACCTATTGTAATCGTTCGGATTATTATTATTATTATTTATTATTCCGCCGATTTTTGTACCAAACATAACTCCTAAACCAATGCTCCGAATCACTTACAAAAAATCACACAGATGCGCACCGAGGTGTGGATATTCCCCTTAAAAATCTCTAGGCTCTTGGCCCAATAGCAAAGGGGCGATAATTCAAAATTAATTCCAAAATTTCAACGTTTGACAGCAAATATCTCAAGAACTAATTGTTCCGACACTTCCAAATTTCTTGTACAGGTGCACAATCGAATACCCAACAATTTTGCCTGACAGGTCAAGTCGCTAAAACGTACCGTTTGGCAGTTATTTTTGTTTTCAGCTTTTCTAAGTAGTTTGCTCCAAACATGTGCAAATTCTGCACAATGCCAGTATGGTAGATGATATCCTGGCGATTCCAGAGCACTAACTGTTTTGAACGTAGACCCAAGAACAACTGAGATACAGCCTTTTAAAGGGGGAACTATTTCTTCTCCGGAACTACTACATGACCCCCGTGACCCCGGCTGTATTTGGAACGTCCGCTCGCCTGTCCAAACATGTGTTCTGGCTCCGTTTTGGACGATCATATCTATATACATGTATATGCATACCTGCGATCCACACGAATGTCCTAATGACACAAATGAGTAAAGATTTAACAAATTCAAGCCATATCGCAGAGGGAGAGTATACCCCTCTCCCTCTCCCCGACACCCACACACCAGCGCACACACACACACACACACACACACACACACACACACACAGCACACCACACACACACACACACACACACACATACCAGCACACACACACACCAGCACGAGCGCGCACGCGCGCACACGCACACGCACACGCACGCACACACACACACCAGCGCACGCACGCGCACACACACACACAACACCAGCACATACATAACATTATATTCTGGGTTTCTCACTTTCAGATGTTCAGGCGGAGCTGTACACTGGCAGAAGTTATGTTAAAACTGAACGACGTATAATGCTAATAGGCATAACCGGATCGGGAAAAAGTGCGACCGCCAATACAATTCTTGGAAAGGAGACATTTCAGTCAATACCAGGCGCTAAATCAGTCACAACAAGGTGTCAGTTTGCCGAAGTCGTTATCGCCAATAGGTCCATTCTATTAATCGACACACCTGGCATGTTTGATACATGTGCTTCAAATGATGACACCTCAAAGGAGATCATGAAATGTGCAGCTCTTGCCTCCCCTGGTATCCATGCCGTCATCTTGGTTATCAGAATTGGGAGATATACAGAGGAAGAACAGAAAACAGTTGAGCTATTTAAGGAGAACTTTGGACATGAGCTGACAAAATACATGATGATCATCTTTACCGGGAAAGACGACCTCGAATACGGTGGGATCACACAAGAAACATAACTGGAAAGATGTTCACCTTCACTTCAGGAGCTTATCTCTGAATGCAGAGGAAGATTACACTTTTTAAACAACAGATCTGGTGAAGAACAAAAAGCCACGTTTAGAAGGGAGCTGGTAGATGCCATTGACACAATGGTGGAGGAAAATGGTGGAAGATGTTACACTACCCAAATATTAGAGAAGGCTGAAGCCATCATGAAGAAGAAAGAAAACGAACTGAAGAAAGAGATTGCGAAAGGACGTAGACCAGAAAGGGAAACGTTACAGCAACAGTTAGAAAAAATCTTTAATAAAGACAACCCACAGCTCGTGAAGATGACAACGGTGAACACAGGAAATGCAAAAGACGTTGCGCAGAAGACTCTAGAAAGACTAGAGACTAAATAAATGGAACTCAAGCGCAAGTTTAAAAAAGTCAAAGATGAAGTGGACAAGCAGCTGAGAGAGAAAGAGGACGAGTTAAAGAAGCTTAAGGAAGATAATGAACGGCTGGTGGAAGCAGAACAACAGAAGTTGCATGAGGAGAAGCTGAAGGTTGAAGAGGCGAAAAGGTTAAAGGAGGAGATAGACGAGATAGAAATGAAGGACGAAGAAGAGGCAAGATTCCAAGCAAGGGAGGAAATTGAGGAGGAAAAGGGATTCTTTGATGTCTTTCGAATTGATTGGAATAGACTGAAAAGCATGTTCACTCGTCTAACCAACAAATAAGGTTCAACTCGTCACGGTCCAGTCATCGTGCCACCTCACCTACTCAACGCTGGACTGCAGTCTGCCGCTCTACGTGAGTTCTTTGAGTTTGAGCTCGCTGGAGAATGTGATGTCTGTAAATCTTCTTCTCTTTTATATTAATCCTATGCTCTTATAATACCATCTATTGATTTGGTACATGATGTGTCCCAAGTATCTGCAGGCAAAGTCACACGTTGAAAGTGTTTTAGACAGTATGATTTTCATGCAATAGAGGGATAAAGTAGTAATCTGCAGATATTACAGATATCATATTACACCTCAATGTACATATCTGCCTAGGAGGAATGTAATTGTTTAACAGTATTTGTGAGTAGCTCACCTTCATGTATGCATTGTGATACGTATATCTCCAATATTGGTTCAGTCCTTATGGTTTGCCATTCGCATTTTCAACACTTTCGAAAAGATATATCTCTTTTATGAACTTTCACTGCTAGCTAGCAATGATTGTCTGCTCCAAAGTTCGCACTTGTGGTCGCTCATTACTACACGGAGCCTCCATTGCCATGAATTGTTACACTTGACGACGTGCTCTTCTACTGTCTGGTCAGTTTCGCTTTTTTGGATATTATTGGATAAATTGGATCCTCTACTGACTTGATGCACTAATATAATTGGCAAGGGTATTGAAGTACCCCCTGTCCCCCTGCCAGTTATCTGTAAATAATCACTTTTCTTAGAATAAACTTGCCTAGATCAATACTTACGGCTTTTAGAAGTCAAAACTTCCTGAAGGTCAAGTACCCTATTAATCGGAAAGTCAGGTAGTACATTTTTTTGCGTCCAATTGATATATTTTAATAAGAGGTCCACAACTGCCTATATTTCCCCATCTAGCCAAGTCTAGCTTATTCACTCATTAGAGTGAATGCTTCTCTGGATTATGTGTCTTACTTACTATCTTTAGCATGTCGGTGAAGATATCTTATGCAATTGGTGGCGTACGGTTGCCAGTTATTCCTTTTTCTATCTATCAGTTATCCTTTCCAGTGTCTAGCCACTTTAGATGTCTCTCATTGGTTGTATCTAGCTGATAATAATAAAACTGGCAATGTCATCCAATGTCTGTCATTTCTTTATTTACTGCTTATATAAATAAAGCATCAGATAACGCCGATCCTGTTGATCATATAACAGAGAGTCTGTCCACCCGATCCCGTTAGTCGCCTGTCTCGACCTGCATGGGTTTGCTAAAGACCAATTCTAACCCGGATCTTCAGGGGTCTCGCTTTTCGGAACAGATGTTTGGTTGTGACACACATGTTGGAAGAAAGCCTGAAATGTCGTCATCACCTTGTTGAACACTGTCACAGGTATGGCGCTAGCACACCATTGATAAAAATCGGTGGAATCTGTGATTCGAACAGAAGATTCCAGCAGACCTGGGAGACATAAAGCATAAGTGTGTGGGACACGCATAGTGAAAGCTACGAGAGATTGCATTTGTCATGAAGCAGTTCTGTTCCATAGCCGGCCTGTGGGGATGTCTGATAATTTCTTAATTATGTTACGAAGTGTCACCTATTGGTGGTGCTGAAATTTGGATCCTTACCGTGCCATTTGTCTCAATGTCATTGGGCGAGAAGGATTTTATATCGCTTGTAATGGTGTTGCAGCAAGATCACTGTGGTGGAAGATAATAATAATAATAATAATATGAAGTCATCTTCTAAAGACATTATCCAACCAGGAACCCATTTTCTGCTGGGTGAACAGAGGCAATTTGGAACAAACTCACTTGCCTAAGGTGAGACCACATCTATCACATGTGACCAATTAAATACCGTTCCTGTGACGTCAGCAGGCTTGTTCTGAAATAACACGAGTTGGTTGTAACACGTTGTATTAGTAACACACACTCTTTGAAAGATGGAGTACCTAAACTGAATCAATGTAATGAGAGCACAAACACAGTTGCACAGACAGACAGACAGACAGACAGACGCATGCACGTACATATCTATATATGTATAGAATAGGTTGCTGAAGACAAATTGTAACAGGAATTTAGAGTATACTAACAGTAACAGTAGCGAGCAAGATGAACTTTCTATGGGGAGGGAGGGGGTGGCTTTCGGGGTTGGGGGTAGCACACTAAATATAACACACCGCTGCTAACAGGCGAGGCATTATAAAATCATTTAGCACCTTTTTTAACTTTGAATCATGCATAGAAGCTGCAGTTAGGTGAGGTGAAACGGTTGTCTTTGTAGGAGTCCGTGTGCGCTGCGTGCGTGCGTGCGTGCGTGCGTGCGTGCGTGCGTGCGTGTGTTGCTTGCTCCAGCCTAGGTAAATATCAGTGTAGTGGTACAAACCACTGAGATTACATCTTGCAGCTTTACCTTGGGTACCCCGCTCCAACACTGTACACGGACTCACAGACTCTCTGTTTCACTCTCTACGTGTGGAGGCAGGGCAACAACAAGTAACATATTCCATGTTTTGGGGGGCATGACGCGTCAGGAGCATCGGTCATCGGCATTATCCACTAGGGACGACTATTGAGGGAGAAATAGCTATTGCGATAGCGATAGTCTATTGCAACATGCTACTGTGATAGCGATAGTCTTTTGTCACCAGCTATTGCAATATTATTGCAGTAGCTTTTTTCTCCTTGAATTGTCTCATTTGAAGTCATTTCCCAAATGAACGGATAGTTTATATGAAATATAAACGAGATGTTTGTTTAAGAGGTAACAGGGTTGGATAACTCTAAATCAAAGTGAACGAATCTTGTACTTCCGGTATTTTGCGCTGCGCATTTATGAACGGAAGTCAACTAACTATCGATAGTTTCACATACTATCTATGCATTGATAGTTTTTCGTTTCTAAATTGCTATCGCAGACTCAACAAATGCTATCCATCGATAGTTTGATGCATAGTTACAGCTCTATTATCCACTAATGATGCGATACGAAAAAAAATGAAACTGTACCTTTAATGTAACCTGGCAGCAAGCTCGGAACATCAGGCCTGTGATACGAACATAAGACATACATGTAATTTATAGTTTAATACCACAGTCCTATATGTTCACATTGCGGATATTTTTACAACGCCACTTAGTACGAGAAATAAAAGAAGCAGCATTAAAATCACCAGAGCGCCGAGAAACACCACAAAACCAAGCAGATATTTTTCAAGCCTTGATCTCTTAGAGTATTCTCCCTTTGGTTGTATTTCTAGAACTCTTTTCGGCTCAAGTGTTGGATAGAAACTCGACGTAGTGCTGTTGGGCGGAATATTCAGCTTAAGGATCGAAGCGTCTGGGAGCCGTGCAAGTTTGGATGCGTTTAAAGTGTTGTATTTCAACACCGACGATCCGGTCGAATTCGGGGTTGGCAGCGATCTTGTTCCGTAACGCAGAGTTCGAAGTTCCTCAGTTGTGAAGGTCGATTCCCGAGGTGTGAGGACACTGTCTGTGATTGCCCGAATTTCGTTCACGTAGCCGGTAAATTCTGTGTGTGTTCTCAATGGATCTTTTCTCCATATTCTGGAGTTTGTTTGTTCTTCTCTCTTCTCCCACACCGGCGAGCTGAGTCCCGTATCCATGTTGTATGGTCAATTCAGAATGTGGATCCACGGTGATAATCCGTCCAATCCAGCCCCCCGCTCTGCTTAATCATCTGAGATTACTTCCTAGATTAACGTGGATGCCATAATCGTATAATCGTACGAATAGCCTAAATAGGGTTTACAACTCAGAGTTCACTGAATGTTAGTGCGTTAGATATGGAATACGAGAAGGGACATTGTCGCTATGTCGCATTGTTGCCCTCTCAAAAACAAATAAAATGAGGCAAAATAAACCAAAACGCGACAAGCGACATTTCGCTCATTTGTCGCATTGTCGCGATGTCGCGTGTCGCGTTTTGGTTAATTTTGCCTAATTTGTATTTGAGAGGGCGACAACGCGACAATGTGACAACGCGACAATGTCCCTTCCAGGATTCCATAGTAAGATGACTGTTAGTCTGATACTGATAGGATTGAATAGCTATCAAATTAGTAAGTGATTGTAGTTTTACGCCCTTTTTGGCAATATTCTAGCAATATTACGGCTGGAGACAGCAGAAATGCGCTTCACACATTGTGCCCCTGTGGGGAATCGAAGTCGGATCTTCGGCGTGAACAGCGAACGCTTTAACCACTAGGCTACCCTACCGCCCCCATCAATTCGAAGATTTTAGGTAACGATTTCTTTACCATGACAGCCCGCTACAAGCATATGCTACGATCGTGTCCAGTCAAACTGTCTTTGTATATTCCGAAGCTCCTGCTGAGCTGTTGGGGTACCCTGTTGGTTAAAGCTGTCGCTCGTCACGCTGGAGACCCGGGTTCGATTTCCCACATAAGGTTAATGTGTGATGCCCTTTCTGGTGTCCCCGCTGGATATTGCTGAAATATTAACTAATAAAAGAGGCGCAAAACCACATTCACTCCTCACTAATGTGCTCAATGAATTACTGTCAGATCACAAGACAGTTTGTGTTGATATATTTTGATGCAGGAGCTTCGAGTGAGTACGTGCGTTTAGTTTTACGACGCTTTTAGCAATATTCCAGCAATATCGTGGCGGGGGACACCAAAAATGGGCTTCACACATTGTACCCATAAAGGGAAACGAACCTGGGTCTTCAGCGTGACGTGCAGACGCTTTAACCATTAGACTTATGACAATTGTCTTAGACAATACACAGACACCAAAACCTATTCTGGAAAAAAATTCTTTCTTGTTTGTTAAACGAAATGGTTACTCGTTATTAATTTGTTAATCGACATAGTGCTCCGTCTAATTAGAAACAATGATGGCTGAAGATAAAACATTTGTATGTTTCAGAACCTGTATTAAACACTGGCGCCTTTGGCACTTATTTGGATATTTTGATGTGCCAATTTTGAAATGTGATGGTAATCTGGCTACGATATGATACAGTTTTCAACGATTTAATGATTTAAAAAAAGGTTTCCATCTTTGCTGTCATTTCTCTCAGTTTCACCAAAGTCGTAAGATTCAAAGATCAGTAGCACCTTATAATTTATTCCTAAAATGAGGGTGGCGGGGTAGCCTTGTGCTTAAGGCGTTCGCTCGTCATACTGAATATCCGGGTTCGATTCCCGACATGGGCACATTTCTTTTCCCCGCGGTGATATTGCTGGAATAGTGTTAAAAGCTTCTTAAACTAAACTCACTCACTCCAAAACTGACTTGCCGTTATATAACGGGAATACTGTTAAATGCGGTTGAAATACAAATCACCGAGTCTCAGTGATTACCTGTACACTATTAACATCGCTATTGTTTCCCGATTCCTGTTATTGATTCCTTGCCTAACTGAATACTTTTAACACATCAC